TTATCTGTCATTTCATACATGCCAGCGACCATCCCTATGCTTAAGACTGTCGATAGCCAGAGGTGGAACCAAGCTACATGGACCGGTTCGAGATAGTCAACTGTACATGCACATGTATAATCCTATCATCCATCGTTTTGGTAACTTTGGTCAAACTACATGTACATTTACCTACTGTCGTTTCCCGACCTTGCCCTCTCTTATGGGCTGTTATACTCACTATCGTTGAGTCCTGCGACGGTGATATTTCTGTTCTCCCACGACAGAAATACGCCAAATACCAAAAGGATTCCTTTGAAGCCGTAGATGGCGCAGATGAAGTAAATCTCATGGTTGGACCCACACTGTCTCAGGACAGGTATAATATACGTCTCGCTCTCTGGACTTGCCGTGTCTGACAACTTAAAAAACAAGGGTCATGTTGAGAATCACTAAAGTGCGTGTTTCGGAGCACACAGAGACAATAGATAAGAATGGACCGATTGCGCCCGCTACGTCAAGTGATATAGTAGGTATCAAACATCAGCAAACATAGCGTCTTCCCACACTAAAATGTGTCATATGTGTCATTTACCAAAAATAAAGCCGACAGTCGGCAAAGTGTTGAACACTATGCAGAAGATTGGCATTATTTTTGGTAAACATATGACTTATGACACACTCTGCTATGGAAGGACGCCAAGTTTGTTGATATGTTTGATACCCACTATTTAGGTCACGTGACTTAGCTGGTGAAATCGCTCTATTGTCTCAATTCCATAACAAACCACGTTCATCCACAGCCTTAGATAGAGTGTCACATTAAGGATTCTTTAACTGACAATTTAAATAAATACGAGACTTTGGACATAAGTGAAAGTTTGGTTTGCCGTGTTTTTATCTATATTTTTGTGATAGCATAATACATAATGTTGTCTGCATTTTCCCTTTCAGTGCCAATCCTCTTTAGAGGAAAAGGTCCTTTTCCAATTCTTTCAATGAATTCTAAGTTCGTTACAGATTTTGCTCGTGATAAGGTTGTGTACACTTAGCTTGAGTAAGGTATAATTAGTTTCATTGAGATTCTTGAAACTGTTTGTCTGTGCTCTTCATTCGCAAGAGAGGTTTAATGCCAGGAACGTAAAGCAAGGACAAATTACGTCGGATGTGTGACAGTTTGTTGTCCAAAAATAAGCCCTTCAATCTAAAAATAATAACCTCCCCCAATAAAGTGAATGATACATACTCCCCCTGGATTTACGCCCATGCTTAGTTATACATGCACTTGTGAACGTTTGGTTTGGGAGCTCTCTTGTACTTTGTATGCCATTTGAACGTGTCGAATGAAGTGCCGTCTTAAAGCCTCGATCCGGGACTTCCTATATGGACTGCCTATAATTCGCCCTATATAAAATTTATAGGGGACAACCGTTGGTAAATACAAAACTGTATTCACATATCAGTTTTGGGTACCATTTTATTGGTTACGACTTTTCTGAGAAATGGATAACAACACTGTAGGAATATTTTAGAGTGTGAATGTCTAAAACGTGTTTTGAGATATTCGGAGAGAAAAAGTTTGCATGTTATACTTTACTTTGGATCATGAATAAAGCATGTAAACGTTATCAGCATGGAAGCAACGTTGGCTCCAACTGACCTCAGAAAAGTCGAAAAGCAAAGAAATTTAATTCAATCGGTCAAAATGTCGTCATCTAAACTTACTTGGGCCTCAAGGTGGAAGGTGTTGACTGTGGACTGTCCGACGAAAACCCATAGTATGATGATGATACAATCGACCAGTACAAGACCCAAGACAACGAAAATCAATTTCTTGTCGGGCAGATCCTGAAGAAGGGGGCATCCCAAGTTGAAAATAATGATTATAAAGATTACAAAATTCGAACATGTAAATGCTATAAATTGTGTTCTTTTCTTACAACCGTGGTATAAATCACTCAGGTTTTCGTGTTTGAACACTTCCTTGGAATCTTTAAACAGAGACATGGCAAAAACTGTTGAGTTAGCAAGGTCTAATATTGATTTGAATTTCATGGGTTATTCTGCAAAAGATCTTTCGTCAAATTGATAAGATGATTATTCGATGTTAAATATTCATTATATGAATATTCAAAAGATAGAGATTAAAAAATCCTGGCGACGCCCACGTCGCCAGTGTTGCTCAAACAGACTTGAGCTGCGGAGTAAGAGAATCTTCATGAGAGATATTCCCCTAAGATGCAGCCTTTTGGTATTTCGACATTATTTATAGGTATACAATGTCGTTTACGACTCTGCGAAGATTAATACACGCTTGGGTCCCTTCTACAAACACCTTCAACTTTATTCCCAGAGTGGCATCTGTCATAAGAGCTCCCACTTCCTGTCTGTACTCCGCCGTACTTTTTCCGTAAAAGCCATTCCATTGAAGCAATCCTTTTGTTTTAAACATCAAAGCCTTGCGCACGCACTCAGGAAGGAAAGCTTCGAGACGCAATATTGGTGAAGCAACGGAAAGGGAACCGCTCGTCGTATTCAGCGACAGCCTAAAGCAGACAAGCCTGAAGCAAGCAATATCGTTAAAATCACGCTTTCCGTTCTCACTTTCAAATGGAGAAAATTAAACCCTCCCTGTCAAGGTTGAACGTGGTTGGTTTTCACGCGTCACTTACGATCTTCTTGAATCTGGCAACAGCCTTTTGGAAGATGGCAAAGATGCGATACGTCTTGACCAACAGAGACCCGAACGACAGTGATATACCGACACATATCAAGCCGACTTTCACCTGGAAAATACAGAAGTTGCGGGTTAGTCCACCTTTTAGTGAAAGCGTTTGGAACCCGCCAGCTTTTTCCCTAGCAACGAATCATTTGGCTATACAGATTAGCAAAACAGTGCGTCTGTGATACCAAAACCTGGTACGTGTATTGTATTTATTTACTTTGTATACAGAGGTATAGGCATCAGCTCTGGTATTAGTAAGAAAAATGGTCCAATTTCATAGACTGTTTCAAGAAAACGTAGAAGGCGCCATCAAATCACATTCAATTTTACCTAAGTCATTCAATTTTACTATTAATACTATAATTTACAAATTATTTACGAGCTTGAGCAGGAAACTATTTTCATTCCCCCATGGAAGTCGTATTTCTGCTTTCTAACATCTGAATATATTGCAAATCTTGCTTTTCTTGAATGTAGGGGTATTTTAGGATCACAGCCTACTCCGGAGATCAGACAGCACGCGATATCAGGTAACAAGAATGGGATCTCTCATTCTGAGGCGGTCAAGGGCATATTGAATAAAGTCGCATGGAAAAAAAAAGATTTCTTATCATTTTTTCCAATCAAATATTACAAATTAAGATCTTGCATATTTGTGCCAACCGCAGTGAATTTGTTCAGGGCAATGCAATTATAGGCTCTTTTCATCTCAGGTTCTCAGACGACGGTTGTGACGGACATATTGCATTATGTCGAATGGGGAAAAATTGGTCATTTCTTTCGGATCTTCATTAAATCTTACAGATCGGCGCCCACTGGGCGCACTGTACGTTGCAATTGTTGGAGAATTGTGGCATACGGTCTTTTCCTGTGGTTTTATTGGTCTACGCGTTGCAGGAAGGGTTAGCAGCATGAAAAGGTTTTTTGTTCGATCGGGGGCCAACATTGGGACCGGTCCCAATGAGAACCGAAGAAATAAACGGGCGCCGTTATGCAGAATACGCCAAGTATCTCTGTAAAGGCCGGTCCATACTCTCAGCGCAAAAGCAAGTCCGAAGCCAAATTAAAACGTCAGATTAAATACTCCTTCCGAGAATTTGTGAACATTATTTCAACTCTAGCAAATTTCACTGTATGAACCAGCCTTAAATGGATCGGATCTTAGCCGCGTTGTATTCCTAGATATCTATATAAACATCGTGATAGACTACGCTGTATTTATTTTCATTTCCATAATGGCATCAAGATAAACTACAGTCCTACAGAGATGTTGTGAAATGGATTCAGAGATAATTATACAACATCAAAATGTCAATAAACTAGTAATTTTCAGCTCACCTGTGAATTGTTTGGACTTATCATAGAACTGCCTCAAGACATTTCATGTTACTCACAATACTCCTATTGATTCCGTGTGTTTTAATTGCAGGATATGTCTAACAATAGGCATGTCTTGAATTCCGCAGCGTGAGCGTGGCTATTTCTCAATACAGGGCCGGTAATTGTTAGTGCTTACATGGCACAAGAGGATGAAAGAACCATCTGTTATACCAGATGTGTCGAGGCCAGACACAAACACAGACGAATAGAGGAGAAGACAGCCCAAGACAATCAGATTGTTGATAAGCGGGCTGGAAATCTTAATGGCTCTGTTGAATGGAACAAAAGGGAAAAATTCTAGTTGGAACGATAATAAAATAAGCATCCAGTTGACAGCTGTCCTTTCTATCTACAACAAAAGTAACAAATCTAAATGTTGGTTCGAGCGAAAAAAATGAAATAGCTGTCGGATGATATCTGTCAGTTAATTTAACAAAAGCGACAGATTAATATTGCTTTCCCTGCCACAGCTAGCATGTTTCGTCCAAGCAGTGAACTGAAAACTGTGGGACAAAGTATGTCAAACTGTCTGGCGCTCGTGACAATTTGGTTCTTTAAGCCGGGCTCGCTAATGCGCTTTTCGGTCAAACACACAGAGCTGACAGGTATTTTGACACTTGTGCCGAATGGAATTTCTTTCGAAAAGGTCCGCTGTTCAAAGCAGAATCCCGCACATTGCGGGTTTAGGTAAACACATCAATCGGCAAGTAGTCATAGAATGGCTTTACAATGCAATACACCCTCCATCTTCGCTTAGCCTCGTTCCTACTTTGGTACATCGTGAATAATTATAAATGCTCTAACTTTTAATTGTTTTAACAATGATTAATTCCTTATAATTTTTGTAAAGCAAAGAAGCGATAAAATGTTGCTCATCATGGTCATTCGTGGAAAAGTTAAAAAGTATTTCTAACAATGATAACAATCATTGTAGCCTAGAAAACTTCATAAAACAATCTCTCCTTTAAAAACAATAGGAGACGAAGAAACATAAAAACGACATAACGGAATTAAACAATTAGCAAATACCAATGATTTTGTCATATTTGGGTAATAAAATTTACTGCGTGATTTTACGTAATTCGTCACTATTACTTTGTGTACAACTTTCCTAGGGAAGGATTTGTACGAGGCACATCCAAAGAGCAAACAACCAAAAGCAAAAAACAAACAAAACAAAACAAACAGATTTATCCCTTCAAGGATATGATAATACCTTTGGTTACGGAGAGCAATGTTCAGGGCAAGGAATAACAAAGCAAGAAGAACGCCAAAGCCTGCTACGGTGAAAATTCCGATTTGATAGGGCAAAGAGATTTGAACGAGCCGCGGTATTTCTGTCCTCCCGTCAATGGGTACTCCCGAGCCTGTCATTAAGGGCACATGATACAAACTTAAACTATTTCACAAGCTGCAAGTTTATGCCAGGGAGGTATTAATACTAACAATGTCCCGATTTTGAATTTATGAAAATAGTTCAGTGATGTAAGTTCAGTGTTTCCTGATAAAAAAAGAGTACAATAATTATGCAACGGCATTAAATCACGGCATTAAATACGTTAATCCGTGAAAAGAGAAAGGCGGAAGTGACGCCAGAAATTTCTATCAAGTCGTTTTATGTCGTGGTGAATACCGGAGCTCTATAAATAAATGTTCATTATTATTAATTGGTTATTATTAAACCTTAATTTATTATTATTAAACCCTCAAACCGAAGAGAAACTACTGTTAAGGATTTTTCTCGTGGTTCCAACAATAAAAGTTGCTTCAACTGGTAAGAAAAAAAGCAGACGTATACCGACGCCCCAACTGACAACCCGCGCTGTCTCACAGGCATAAGCCGAATCCTGACATGTGCACCGGCCCGTCTGCTTATCTTGTCAATGTGGCAAAGTGTTGTTTGCGGTGCACTTTGAGCACACTGTTCTCAAGAAATGCAGTGGTGCATATAGCCGGAGGAGTGAATAGGCAGAATACAAATAGAAATCAGTTCACTGGCAGACGCTAAATGGGGGCGTCAAATTGGCTGATAAATTTCAAAATGGGGAAGATGAAAATATATCTAAATAATAAAACCTCTCACTGAATAATGTGCTACAGAAATGCTACCAAATCAACGTTTTATCTTACTCGTGTCGTCTTATAAGCCTATAAACGACAGTAAACATCATTTCTGCAACTGGCAAATTTAACAAAACCCCAAGCGAAGACTGGAACAGTGCCAAAATTTTCCACAAAGAGTGTCTTTCAGTGGCAATACAAAGTGAATTTAACTAAACTCAATCATTTCGATTTAATGAACATGAATTCGTCTACATTCGTGTGCAAATAAAATCAGCCACTGCACGGCTATACAATACCCGGATTCCGACTGCCCCCAATGTCCAATAAACATGACCATATTTCCTAACCTTTCCACCGTATTGTCGCATTGGGAATGTTCTTGTAATCGCCATCGGCAAGGTAATTGGTGATCCTCACCGGTTGTCCGTCTGCAGTTCCGAAAGTAATGATAGCATTGTCGATATTATAAGAAAACACATTTAGCATGGATAAACAACTTCAAGGCAATCTCCAACGGTTGGGCAAATTCGGGAGAATTCGATTGGTTAATTGCAATCTTCGTGCTTTTCATTCCGCAAGGCCAACACAGTGTATATGGAACACAAATAAAATTAAGGAACTCGTCTTGTTTTGTGCATGGTGTTATTTCAAGAAGAAATTGTTATTCTCATGAATCCCCCTTTATTGATATTTCAAAAGCATCCTATCATGATCCTTTAATAATGATAGATTTGTTTATTACCAAAAATGGGCACTTGGGAGACATTCCCATAGGAACGTACACAAAATTTTTCACACTTTACCGTCCAATGATTCAATATTTCCTAATCCGATCTTAACCAAACTTTGCATGTTTTCCTTTCAGACCCTAATTTATCATCTCTCAAAATGTGGACGATAACAATTTTCCTCCTTTTGGTAGTTGGAGCATTAGGGAGACATTGAAATGTCTCCCTATAATGATCGATGTCTCCCTGATGTTGAAAGATTTACGACAAAATGTCTCCCAATAATTTACCTTGAAACTGTTCAACGTAGACTGTTGAATGGCGAACTCCTTCTTCACCTATGACAACAAGATCCTGCGGAAAAACAAGCATCTATAATTTGCCGTGGAGGTCGATCAACACTGCACGTTCATTTTCTGGAATTCAGACAATCACCGGCTCCTTCGTTCTCGGTGTGTAAACTGACTAAACTATACCGACATCAACATAGCGCAGAGAGGAAAGTCGCCTTAGAGAGCCCAGAAAAGTTTAGGTTGACACGGAATTAGTAACCTACCGTCAAACCGACGAATTCTGCCTTCAGTGTATTTCGCAAGAGAATCTCGGCCATATTCTTATCTCCGTACTCAAACTGGTTCAGCCGCCTTGGTGGTGTCAGCTGCAGCAGCTCGCCTATCGAGGCGTTGAGAGCCATGGCCATCGTAAACAGACAGTCGTAGGCGTAAATGTCACGAGAATTGTCCTCCATATTGTGAAGCCTTTCCAGATATTCAAGTTGCTCTGGAAATGGTTTCTGGATGTTCAGGAGGACACAGCAAAATGTTCGCCAAAGCAGATCATTAGAACATGCCAAGATCGTGCCCAGTACATGGAAAATGTTCAGATTAACAATCGTGGCTGGTTCCCTGCTTTGAGTCCTTTTGAGGGCGGAATTCTTCAAATTCTGCTGCATGTAATTAATGATGGTACCAACTTTTTGTTAGCTGTAATGATTCAGTATACGTCTCCATAGTCTGTTCATGCATACAATACTTACCACTCCATTGAAATCGATCAGGGAAACGTCACTCACAGCCTGGTCACCGTCAAAAGCCACGTGCAGATCCAGCGCTGCGGCAATTTCGTCATTGGAGCAGGACACATCAGGCAGATCACGCCACCAGCCGTCAGGGTACCAGCCTGGCAAAATCCACACATACTTCGCGCCAAACAGCTTGGCTTTATAGACCTGGTCAAAAAATACTGATCTCGTTTGACATAATCCCTCTGTGTGAAATGATCACTTTTTAGGGTAAAAGCAATCATACATGTTGACGATCACACATGAGTATGCTGCGGGAAGAACATGTGGATTGAGTGTAAAGATTTTGTAATAGAGAGGAGGTATTTTTGTAGCGAAATTCGGTTGAGTTCTCCTGTAACGGACCAAATACTGGTAGTTAATTTGACAGACGTACTTTCAGTTTTTTACTTTGACGGTCTTTTTGGCAGAGGCTGCAAAATGATTCTGGAAAAGTCGGTCAATAGTTCAAAATGACTGCATCAGCCATATTTAGCGCTATATGGCATCAGCCGAGGTGATCGCTTGGTTATTGATCTGGCAACATTCAGTTGTCTGCATGGTCAGTCGATCACTCAGTCGAATCCCTGGTAAACTGTCGGTCACCCTGTATCTTTTCGTAAATATTGTTAGTGAGCAGAACCTATTAGACTTTAAGTTAGGACTAGAGACACTGGCAAGAGGCACTTTACCTTACAAAATAGTTTAGCTGCTGGATCAGGATAGAACGCCGTAATGATCACCCGGGCATCATGCCTCTGGCACAAGCAAAGATAAAGAATTACTGACAAAGAAATCATCCAGCTGATCATAATTAACAGTGCCTAAAAAATCACCACTGCGCTGTGAAGATGATACATAAAGACATTAGTTCAGGTCCACGGTCATTAAAGTGCTAATAAAGGCGTCTCTTTGTTTTTACCTTGAGACTTTGTATTTGTTCATCGGAATTGTCCGGATCCGTGACAGCTTCTGTCGTCAAAACAGTGATGTTATTTTCCCGCAGTTGGTGAGCAAGCTTTGCCATATTCTGTTGAACAAAATGGTAAGACAGCGCTGATTTGTTTCACTTAGGGAATTGAATTATCCTATTGAGAAGTTGGGAGTTCTCTGCTTTAATTGTTCTTTCTTTAGAATGTTTGAGGAATGCAGTGGTGGCCACTGGCTGTTTTCACGACAGCCTACAAGGACTTGCCTATCCTTTCATCCACGAGGGAGGGAAAGCTTCTTGAAGCAACTGGGAAGATTTGGCTACAAAATGGAAAAAACTAACCGTAGAAAGGGAGTCAGGTTGGTGTAGTGATTCTTTTCTCGCCTTCCACCTCTGCGGTCCGGGTTCAGTTCCCGGCTCGGTCTACATGTAGATTGTATCTTCATTTCTTGCCTGATTTCGTGGGTTTTACCCATAATATTCCTCTAGGGTTTTCCTCCCACCTCTAAAACTGCAACTGCTTCTCATTGTCTCCTCTCTACAGGTAACTTTCAGGCTTGCAAGCTACGGTACCTGGGGCGCTTTTGAGGAATCCTTGGTGTCATTACCAAAAATAAAATTATAATACAATAACACCAGTGTTACCCCGGCAGTTTTGGTCATTTAAGCGCCCCGGAGGTGCCTCAATAATGTCTCTCGAAATGTACGTTAAAGTTTCTGTTCTAACTATGACGATAGGTGCAATAGGAAACAATCTACTTCCCTTTGAGCATATCAGGAAGTATTTATCTGCTATTGAAAGCGGAAGCGACGTTGGACAGGTGGCTTCAGTATTGGCGCCAAATCAGAGTTGTTTTGGTAAAATTAGCGTATCTGAATGTATTGCTGACTTCCATCAATGACACGTGGCAAATGCTTCCATAGCAGGTGCCACTGATGAAGTGGAAGTAATATGCTTACCGTTCGCATATAAGCCTGCGTCAGTTTGTTTTGTGATTAAGTTACCGATAGCTGTAGTCAGCACACCATTGTGTTCTTCGTTTAGCGATCAGAACTTGTTCATGGTTGGTGCTTATAGCCATATTGTAATGTCATTTACCTGTCTGAAATACTCGTTATCTTCGAATATCAGCGCCACCCTCCTCCATCCCATGCGCTTTACAAAAGCCACTCGGGTGGGATTCAACAAATCCTCGTCCACGGAGACTTGCACCGTCAGCGGATAACGGGCCCGGTCCTTCAGAGTGGTTGATGATGCGATTACCACCTAGACATGCGTGATGTACACAGACAGACAGACAGGTGGTTTCTAATTTTGAATTACAGAAAGCTTTAGAATTGCATATGAGGAAACTCAACGCAAAGTGCCCCTCGACGGTCATTCACTCAAACTTGGACTTGCACAGTCTACAGTCGAATTTAAATGCCCCATGATATTCCCCCGTCTCTGCTCTGAACAAAGAACATGTATTGCAGTGCAGTTTTGCTCTTTTAAGTGGAGCAGGCCTCTTGGATGAATCACAAAAAGTCAAACAGCTTTATCTCTGACGCCTTGGTTTCACATAACATTTCCCGGTTTATTTAGCACTTCTGTCTTTCACTTAAAACTGCTTAAACGAAAGTTTAATTTCGTCAAAGAGGGGTCACTCACTCTAAATGTTGATTCTAATTTCGGAATAATACACTACATTTCAATTTCAGAGCGTTGTAAATCACCAAAAAAAAAACACTTATTAGACTGAGTCCCATTTTTCGTCATTTTCGTCTCACTTCGGAAATGGCGAAATTATACCGAAACCCGGCTTTATTTTTGGTAAACAATACTTGCGACACACTTTGCCATGGAAGGATAATTATATGAAGCAAGATAAGAGACGGAGAGAACCCCTCGCCTTGTGTTGGTCATTGTTTCACTGGAATCTTAGGAATTCATCTGGGAGATGTGTTAGGTAACAACAGTCTAGAGTGTGTATAGGGATTGGACATGTTGGGGGTACCCCTATTTCTTGCTGGATATATGGAAACACACCGTGTTTATTGTTATTTGATACCTACTTTATGTCATGTGACTTAGCTGGCGCAATCGATCTCTTACCCTGCTTAATAAAACGGACTTTTTTCATTGATTGCTCCATGCTTCAAACCCAGGTTATTGTCTATATGCCGAGGAGCATTTTCTAAAAAGATCTAAATTGAACATCTCCAAATGTATTTTCACGCTCAGCAAAAAGGTGCAAGCGCTAGTGAACTTTAAGGGCAGACATTAACTAGTACAAAAATTAAATATGAGCATAAAACACGTTCAAGAGAGCCTTGCGACCATGAATCGAAAGTACACGTAATTCGTCGTCACGTCATATCAATGCGCGTGGTCGTCTTTTTAAAGAATCTTGAATGTCATGGTTGGTTTGATCAGTGGGCCATTTTAAATGAACTTTGTAAGTGCACTTACTGCTGCATAATTTAAAATCACGTGATTGTGCACATGCCTGGAACCAAGATTGCATGTAATTTTCCGTCCTCGTACACAGTCAAGGTTAATTTAATCGCTGGCAAATTTACGTGCAGTGATGAACGATCTTCAGAATTGATATCAATTAAGCTGGTGACGTTCGCGAGTTTAGGTTGAAGTTCGATCGCTCGTTTGATAGTTTTGCTGACGAAAGCTTGCGTGGGTTCTAATAATCGGCACGTTGCTCATCATAAAACAGTGAAGGGGGATACAAAGCACGACGCACTGAGGGCTTCGGAGAGTGCGCACGAATGAAAATTCGCAGACTCGGGTTGGAGGGGAACCCAAGGCTCCCTGCTTACTGGTGTCGGTAGGTCTTCGCCAGTCTTAGAGTACTCTGTACTCGGATTTGAGGACTTGATTCCAACACTGTCCACTTGAAAACCGAGTTCGTCAGGGTCACCCGAGTTTGAGACAGCAGAGAGTACAGCAATCACGTTGCCAGGGAGGAGGCAGAGGTCTTTTAATTATGGGGGGGCCAAGAACTTGGCCCCAAACGTGCAAACATCAAGGGTGAAAGGGGTCTATTTGAAGGACTAAATTTGAGTCAATATCTTCTTTTTTGAGACATGCAGTTGCACCTTTAAATCAGATTAGCGTTTTGGCTACAGTACTTCAGAGCCCCCATTGTTCATGTACCTTTTGTTGTCATTCTCACCGAGGAGTCTTTTCCGTGGCTCTGTGCTTTGAGTAATCACGATGTTCCTTTGGTTCATTAAGTTCTGTGAATTTTGTTAGTCCAGGTGAACATTCCTTGACATTATTGTGACCAGGGCTATATAAAATGTGCATGGAGGCCAATAGGGCGTGGACTTACGACTGAGGTGTAGTGGTGGATGGTTTCGTTCCTTATAGTTACTCTGCCTTGTATCACGTTTGTTACTTTGCACCACCGTCACCAACCCAGTTTTTTTCAGGAAGGATCCAGTGGTCTGTAAAGTCTCAATGTAAGTACGATCCAATTTTACTACTTTTACCTTGTCCAGAAATTTTTGGGTGTCACACCTTCACCATCAATTCATATCCACATTCTTTGCTATGTCAGTAACTATTTTCCTTTTTTGTATTACATTATTGTGAACTGATTTGCTCTCCCCTAATGGATTATTCATACTGTTTGGTGAAAGAATGCCTATTAATAAATTTGAAGTAACTCTAAACCTTTGAAACTGGGTATAGATTTCCTAGTTTTCTTTTGTTGCTTGAGTTGCAATCGTGGGTTTGTCGTTAAAAAATTCTATTCTATGTTCCCTGTGACTGGCTAAACTCCTTCAGTCACTCCTCGTGACCAATTATGCAATCACCATACGATTCATAGGGCTTTAAGGAGCGACCAGTCTTTTATCGCTTGTCCCAAATTACGATTGTCTCGTACCGAACGCAGGCCCAGTTTTGTAAGCCTATGCGCGACGTGCTCGCCGTGACAAAGTGCCTGTTTTTGGCAAGAGTTAATTTTGCCAAGACATTGGCTCTGAAGGGAGAGAGAGTAGGTTTGCACAGTGCCCTTGCCCACACCGCTGCTTTTACCACGTAGAGCTCATACAATACTAATTTAGTCTTTCATTAATCAGTTGCCCAACATCAATCAATCATAATGAACATATGAAGCTATTGGCTTTCACCATTAACCCATTGCATTACCAATTCTATTCGCTTAGTTCTATTATCATATTTGTATCTTCGCTAGCCCATTGAATACTCGTTCTAAGATCAACACTCTATTCTCTATTATTTTTGTACACTCAGCATTTTGAATCGGAATAAATCTTGCGAATAATTTTTTTCATTGCCAAAGAGATTGATCCTAGTATTCATAATTAGGTGTACCCGGCTTCAACGGGTCACGCTACCCTCACTACCGTGGCAATAAATCAAATGCTGAATCAATTTATCCCAAATCTGATTCTTTTCAATTGGAATATTTAAAGGGGATCTTGGTGGTATAGTCCTCAAACCTCACCTGAACGATACCGTAGAGAGGCACCACCTCATTCACCACCACTGCGACACTGGAGAACATGGGGCCCCATGTCATTACAACCGGTGGCCCATTCTGGATGAAGTCGTTCAGGAGTCCCAGGGCGTTGGCGGGACTTCCCTTAGTGTCGTCGAAATCAAATGAACAAAATTGCTGCCATCAGATACCATCAGTAACAATTAACTGACTTTACTAATGTTTAAAACTAGAAACGGGTTTATTGCGCTTTGTTTTAATACTAATTATAGCCCTACTGTTTGCCATCTGCGAGGAACTGAGAACATCTATGAATGCACATGTTTAGTGTCTGAGAAAGCTGGGATTTTTGAAATTCAAAGTGTTGTTGAGGTATTAAAGACGATTATCTCCTTCAGGGACTGGCCCTTTTTTAATCTACTCCAGAGAACCTACAGAATCATAAACACCCTTAGTGGGATGAAACACTCGGGTCTTGGCCATGAATTCTTATTTAAAACAGACACTTTCAATAAGAACGTTTTGACAATTGTTGCTGACGTTTATAACCATCTTGCTCCGCCCAATGAATGTACTTGAAGTTGACCAATATATAAAACAATAATGCTGCAACGTTGATATTTTTCAGTTTTGCAGTTGACGTATAGTAACATGCGCCCGAGTTCGATTCGCCAAAATCAGCGCTTTAACAAAACCTAGGCCTATATAAATATAATAAACTGAATGTACGTCCTGTGCTGTTTAAAGCTTAACCCCTTAAAATTTCATTAAGATCCCAAAATTTCCCCCGAATGTTTTCCTTCTTGAGATATCATTAAACAAAGTAAACTGTGTTTATTCAGACGGTTTCTAAGTCGACGTTGGCCAACGATCAGCCGGCCAAGCAAACACTTGCTCCCAGACGGAAATGGCGTGGTTTTCATTGTTTTGTTTTGCATCGACACTATCTACTACTTATCAAGAAACGAGGTTTGCTGAAGACAAAATGAGTGCTGGCCGCTTTTCAAAAAAAAAGCGTATAATAAATCTGCAAAACTAAACCTTCTAAAAATCAAATGCAAGTTCGAATACGAGTTGGCGTCGTTGAGTCATAGTTCAATCTCCATTGCACAGTCGGGTTGTTACTTTGATCGTGATTCAATAGGGCAGAGTATTAACTCTGATACTGCCAATATTCAAAAATACACAAAGGCCCTCAACAAAATTAATGTCCGAGTATTGGTTATGGAGTTCCCGTGTGTCTATATCGGGGAAAACGACCAACACAGTGCTTTAATTTCCTTAACATAATATAATTAACATTTAAACAACTCCTTTTTAGACAGTGTTTTCATGTTTTAAGCAAACTCTTTTCTCGGAAAATCCGTTTATTTGAAAAAAATGCAAAATAACGAAAAATGAATAAGAAATGAAAAGACAGCAAACACTAATGATTTTGAAAAAGAACTATAGTTTCGGAATAAATTTATGAAGTATCCTATGAAACTCGTTCTAATTCTAAGAAAATGTCGAACTCAAGTATTTCGTAAATTGTTTATATGCTCGTTAAAAAAATTTTATTTTACATGTGTGTGGATTTTATAGATCATATAAAGTGATCAAAAAGCAAGATTCCCTGAGAAAAAATCCATTGTGCGACGCTTTGCATCACTGAAATCATAACCACTGTGCTAGATCGGAGATTTTTAGTGATTATAAATCAATTATCAAATCCTCGGCTAAGTCACCAAGCGGTGTGACGTTTTGCGATCGATTTCCGACACAAGCAAAAGCAAATGATGAAAAGAGTAAAATTCGGATATAGGCCTACGAAGATTTTTATTCCGTAGCAGCACTTTAAAAACCCTATTGTCAAAGAGCACTTTTGACAATTTTGTTTACGCTGTTAGTCTACAGTGTGTTTTTCGGGTTCTTTTCTACTTGCTTTCCTGGATTATTATTAGTATTTCTCATACCTGAGTCCAGTTCCACCGCATCCGCAACTCGTAGCCGTCCAATATTCCCGTCAAGTTGTTGACATGGTCCACTGCCGACTGCACGGTCAAGGGGAGAGAAGAAAAGAAGGGCTGGAATCCAATCGGGAAGAATCCGCCAACATACACCGGTAGAGGTTCATCGCCGTCTCGGTAGGCGAATGCCATTCCTCCTAACTCGGGTAGTTCATCAATACAGACTGCTATCGTCAGAAGCAAGCAGACCGTTGGCGGAACGCCAAACCGCATGGTGAACAGTACTGCTCTATACAGTTAGAAACTAACGGTCATTACCTGGGGACTGGTGAAAATTTAAAAGAAGATGGTTTTCACATTGCCCTTTTTTTGGGGGGGGGGGGGTTGGTGACAACTTGTAGAGAAATGAAGTCTACCCCTTGACAACTTCTCTCTTTGACGCCATATTTCAAGTCTGTGCACCTTTGTGCAGTTAAGCATACACTCTCAGAGCCTTCAAAGTTTCAGGCTGGCAGGCGTTGAGGAAACGCGTTTTGTTTTGTTCGTCATTTCGCCTCGAGCAAGCTGTTTCCAACAGTTCAGCCACAGCTCGTCGTGTTAATTGCCACCCTCGCTGTCCGAAACTGAAGACCGTTGCGGCGAAGTTGTGACGAGCAGCAAAATGATGAATATTGATCCGAAGCACTTATAGCCTTAATTCAAGTCTGTTGCTATTGGCGGGTTCAGTTTATTATATATACATATATCTTATATCTTAATTGTAAATGGCTACATCGCGATAGTCACGTGCAGCCCTATGCGATGGCGTTCTCAAAGTCACACGTGTTATCACAAAGCTGTGCGTTATGTGGTCCATCAAGACTTTAATATTTTAGAATCCCAGTTTAAGGTTGAATGTTTGACAAAAGATGCACACTTCTCTCTAAACAATACTCAAGACGTGCGGTTAAGTCATCTGAAAAAAACTGTTATTTCTATTGTACACATGTTGGGAGTACTACTCTACCAACAAGCGTTCGAATTTATCAACGCCCTTCAACCGTACGTTGAATCAAAGTTGATCATTTCTAATCGATCAATCTTACGGAGTGAAACTGTCTATGACGCGCTGTTATGAAGTGGAAACTAACATTTTATGTCGGAAACCCGATGGACATGACGTTTACATGACAAAGCTGTTGGTCTATACAATTTATCCCATGTCTCACTGCTGAACGAAGGGGGGTACAAAGTGGTGCACACTCGAAGCGTAAAACATCCTCTCCACTATTGACGAAGAGACCGTACTTGGTAGAGAACTCGATGCAATTTTTAATACCCCTACTGTGAATACCACTTAACCGTATGGTATTTTTTTATGCACCAGGTTGCTTTACAAAGAATCATAATGATGTGGGACAGAAGGTCACCAAACGTGCTCTTGAAAGGGCAAAATTCATCATAAAATGCCACATAATTATAATGGCACGGGAAAGATTACCTTGTCATAGGACATCACGTGTGCGAACGCCATTTGGACAAGAACTTTCCTTTTCCATTCTCCGGGCAATAAAAAGTGGTATTTCAATCTACATGGTTCTGAATATTTTCTTTTACCTTTGGCAAAGGGGTCTGTAGTATACGGAGGCATATTAATTGGGTGTATATTTATGTTGTACAGGCTTTATTTGCGTTGGCAGATATCAAGCGTTAGGCTAAAAGTATATTGAGGCATCAGTTAAAATGTATATTTTCTGTTCCATTAATGCGCAAAATTAACGTTAACGATTAAATTTCCCTTAAGTTTTAGCGCGAGAAGAAGAGAGGATAGTACGTCTGCCATAACGGGTAACTTGAAAAGGTAACAGTTGAGATACCTCTCTTGGAGGTTTTGGTTTCATTTCAACCGCAAATCCATCATTTTTTATACATTCAGTCCGGCCAAACTGGCGCTGAGCATGTATGAGATCGCTTCACAAAGGGGAACGGTACGGAGCTGCTATATTTCTTGTTTTTAAGTTGTCACCAATCTGCTACACCCCACATTCTGCCTCCCCAGAAGAATACTCCATCCTCCCGAGTATTCAAAATTCAATTACATAAACCCGTGCCTTTCAAATTGCCTTGAAGCATGGAATACTTCGGTCTCTGTGGGCTTAATTATTTTTCCAGTTGTATCCCCATAGGAATTTTACTCAAAATTCAGCGTCAATTACTGACTACATTGTCTACCCATGGCAAATTGAGGCATCGAATTCTTTCGCCTAGTTACACACCGGAATTGATTTGTCAAATTCGTTACTTCCCAAAAAAGCTAGGACCTTGTGGGACTGACCGTCAGAGTTTCACTTATTTTAAAAAAGGAGCTTTGTAGAAAAATTACCTGTCAAGGGACTGAACCCATTGCAAGGATTTCTTGATTTGCGGAGTGAGCCAGTTCAGTTTTTCAAAAAAAGGGGTCTTTGGGGAACAACAAATTATGGAATAAAAAAGGACTGTTTATTCTATATCTATGAGGGCCGCGCTAATACGGAAGACCTCGCACGCCGTGTATGTGTCTGAATGACCTCGGACACGCTTCATTTTACGCACGCGCTGTTGGAAACCCCAATTAGGTCATTCTGGCCTTGCCAGACGTCGCTGATAACCCGATAAAAATGGAAAACTTTGAGAAAGAGGGCAGCGAAGGTCCGATAAAGCACTCAAAGAAACAAACAAGGTCTGGTTGCAAATAAAAACACTTAAAATGTCGCAGTAGATGTCAACCAATTCGAGAAGCTCTACCTAAAATAAGCCTTCTCAGAATTTCCTTGCCTCGTACTGTATTTTTTTAGGCCGAGTGATGAGGGCAATATTATGCTACTTTATTAAAAAGATCTGCACAGAGAGGCACATGGTGCCTTAAAGGGTAATGTTTATATAGGTTGACTTGATCCCAGAAGTTTTTGCGATTCACGCCCCTATCCGCCCTGAGCTGGGGCCAATTTCACAGAGCTGCATAAGCACTGAATTTGCTTAAGCGCAAGAAACCTTGTTTAAAAAAGGTTACCAGCTCAAAATCTATGTGATTGTCATGCTAACCAAAAGACTGGTGAATACCATTCCAAAACAATATGTACATCACATGGAGTTTTGGCTGGTAACCTGATTTGTCAAGCAAGGTTTTTTCATGCTTAAGCAAATTTTGTGCTTGGCAGCTCTATGACATTGGCCCCAGAAGCACACTTCGTCGGCTGACTGGGACTGCTCCTTTTATGGTTGCGATGCAACTGTAATGCGCATTTCATATTCACTTGTGGACCTGCGAAGTGTAGTTCCTACGAAAGGAGCCTGCGTCGTTAGGGAAATAGCGCCCGCTCTTGGTTCAGCTTGGGGCTCACTTGGGTTAACTAGGCTTCACCTGCAGTACACTGAACTGGCACCAAAATATGCCATTTATAGAAGGATATTGGCACTTCGGGCCAGAAGGCAAAAAAAAACCAATGTTCTAGTCTCTAAAGTCATTCCGCTTCGACTGTTGCATGTTGCACGTTAAAACAAATCTCTTAACAAAACATAAAAAAGATTTCCAACGTCCACCGTGATTACTATCGATAATCGATATGTAATGGGTCCTTATTTGACCGTACTTTTGATTCGCTTCCGTTGTCAAAACGTATATCAAAATTACTACGTGGCAACTCCGGCAGTAATGCCTTAAAAAATCTTTGCTTTGCTCCACAAGGTCACGCATTGTCAATATTGGACAACAGCGACGCTCCCGTCAATGTTGATCCACAATGTTGAGTGTTGAGTGGCATCGTGAGCTCAGCTGGCGTCTCTCGCTGGAGCGCTGGATGGCTGACGAATCTCAACCATTCACCCGCTGGAAATGCCCTCGCAGGGGGTATACGGTAGCAGGACATCTTAACAAGGATAAAAGCTAATGGAAAATATTGTGCGTGTTGCCATCAGAAACGTAGGTCGACTAAAGTGACCTGGAGTAACTTAAAGCTTAAAACGAAGCTGGCCCGACGTTTGATCCTAAAGCACAGTCTTATTCAAAGGCAGGGCAAAACCTATCGATCTGTTCCGATGTCCTCATTTGGATGAGAAACATCCAAGCAACTTTCGAGGAATGATGCAGTTTTATGGCAATTCAATTGAACTGACAGACATCTGCACTTCGAGCGCCTTTATGCCCCGATTTTCATGTGGTTAATGCACTTTCCTTATGGTTCTCACACTGGGAAATGTTTTTACTAAGCCGTTATAAATAAAAGCTTCCACGCGCGTTTAAACCGTACATTATAGCGTGGCATTGACTTCACTTCTAACCATTGGAAACAGCGCGACGTTCTAAACTCAGTGACGCAATACAAAGCGGGGCTTATGGAAAATGTTAGTGTTTCAAGAAACCTCGGTTGTTGGTATATTTAATACATTGTACATAAATTTCAAACAAGATAAAGCTAATAAACTGGATCAAAAAGTGGAATGTTGCAACACTCTTCGTATGCCAAGTACGTACAGGTACATGTAGATACCTGCTTGCAACACGACCTGAAAAACGCAGACCATGAAAACGCAAAATAAACCACATATACGTGCCATGAATACAACGTAATCATATCAGATGGAGGAGGGCCTTATATATTAATCAGAAAATTACATGTCCGATCTGTGATTATTGCACCTTACGGTATACCTATAGTTACTTCATACGTTTCTTGGAATTCTAACCAACTTCTAGTTCTCTACTGGAATGGAAATTTCCACATAACTTTGACGATATACTGTATAAACGCTCGTACAGATATAAATAATGAATACCATGACTACCAAATACAAATGTCAAAATGTACAAACAGTAAAAATTTACAAATATCCTGCCATTTCGAAAATGTACGAGTGAAATTAATAAACCAATGTAACTATCAATATAGGTCTATTATAAGAAAATTCATGAATCAAGAAAACTGACGGAAAGTTTCCACCTGCAACTTCGTGTAGTTGCATCAGACAAGTAAACTCACGTCGACATTTCAGGCACACACGCCTAATAGGTCATTTTAGAAACAAAAGAAAGTTTGACAATTTTAGTCTATTTAGTTAAATTTGAAATGACGTCAGCTCTACTAGGCATTTGAACTTGTCAAACGAGATTGGAGACAGAGCTTACGCTCGAGGGTATTGCCAAGATTTTTTTCAGAGGAGCAAAGCAGCGAACTAGCAAACCGTTAGGCTCCGTAGGGAAGAGGGTACATTCCAAGTTGTTTCCGGGTACATTGCGGATTTTCATCCGGTCATGATCCCCTTCCCTTCCGCTCCTTTCATTTTTACCCGTTTTTCTTTATATATTTTTTAGTTTTTTTATTTGGGGGGAGGGGGGAAGCACCCTTACCCTCAACACAATGGACACCCATGCCTATATCACCATGTGTACGTTCGCTTTGTATACACATGTATCTGCATCTAAATCACAATCGGAAGGACCATTCAAAATGGAGTGAATGTGGGATAGGCCTATGCGGCTGGGAAAACTCGGAGGTAATATCGCCAGTTGTGCGGTTATTCTAAAACACCTATGTGTGTATACGCGAGCATATGAATGTGAAATGGACACTGCTTAGTGGGCTGATAACCACAAGAAGCTGTGATTTAACCACTGTACTTCAACTTAATTCGGGTCCACAATTGGGAATTGGTTTCGGCGACGAAGCCTGAGACGGAGACGAAGTTGAGTATTGGAAAACGGCTGTGGCTCAATATATACCCGCTGCGTGTTAAAATTCAAAGGACCTGACCTATAAGTAAGACTAATGCGCAATGGGACTTATGGTAAATTCATTAAGCGACCCAGGGAACATCGCCTCAGGAAGCTTTGGTCACAGTCAGAAAAACAACAGTTCATACTTCTGTATTTCTTTCAGGAATGTCATAACCAAACAAAATAAAATCCGCCCGGTATATCAAACACAGCTTCTGGAGCAGGTCGTTTGGCACCTGTGAAAAGTGTTTCCGTAACAAATCTTTTTCCGAGGTGCTTTTCTTCTGTCCCTGTGCGTAGCTGACTAGTTGATCGATCCGGAGCCGCCTCAGCACATAGGGGATGTCGTCGGCAGCTTCCTCCAGCTTGCCAACGATGTCGTATCTTATCTGACACGGAAGGTTCTGACCAAATATCGGTTTCCAGTGAGGGTTCGCCCGATGCGCGGGCGAGTCCACCAGGTACCTCACAAATTCGGTCAGGGTCACGTTTCCCGTGGCCGGCGAGCCGTCAGACTTCTCGCGGTAATTTTCGACGATGCTTCGGCCCATTTTCGAGAAAACGCTGTTGTGGTGGTTGACAAACTTATCTCTGTACGCAGACAGAATTCGGGCTAGGGGATTCCTAACAAACATAAAGATTGTGTATTTAGACAGACGCTGCTGAATATCTGTCGAATTGAACCTAGGCATCCAGTGAATAGCTTTATGGCTATACAACTTCTGATTGGGCACGTTCTTGTAACCACCAAGGTCTTCAACCAGCAATCGTTCCCAATTAGTGGAACCCACTTTGTAGACGATGCTGTAGATAAACTGGTGTTCGTCATTTACGATCAGGGGCCGTAGTCTGCCTGGCTGAGTCGCCAGTGAAGTCACACTCTCTAACGACATGTTGTAATGATCTGAACATGCTCTGCGAAGAGCATTAATGCGGGTTTCGTGTTTTTCGTCCATCTTTTTCAACCATGCCTGTTCATCCTGCAAATACATGTATAAAAATACGTCAACCCATTTATTTAGAGGTCGTCCATTTTTTTGTTCTTATTATTTTCACAAACCCGCAAATAGTACTCTTTTCTCTGGACTTCTCAACCATAAATACAGACAATTCACAATACAGCGCGCAACCAAGAGTTTGACTTGAACAGGCCACTTTTCAAGTTTATCGTCGACACGAGCTGCCGTGATAAAGCTCACTGCATACTTAATTTGGAGATATTAGGCTGATTGGGCCATTCCGTGCACCACACAAACAATTATTTGGACTACCTAACACCCATTCGCAAAAAAAGGAATTTTGAATTTTCAACCAAGATAAACAAAAATTCGGGAAAAGTTCAAGCTTTCCGCGCACAACGCAGTTAGAGAATGTAACTTTGTGAACTATTTATACCATAATGCACTGCAAAAAAGCCTCTCCATAATGACCTCTTGGTGGCGCACTGCATTGTGAATCACCCATATTCATTCTAAGCCAGTTCAGTATTTCTGAAGGCAAGGTACTTGAGAAACAAAGCATGCGCACGTGTAAGTCAGGTCAGTGCATGGCCACGCTAATAAGGCAAGCCTTGCACTTGTATTGCTGTTCTTGAGTGGCTTTAGAGCTCAGATACACTTCATTTGGGGCAGGCACTGTTGGAATACCGAAATGACTCATTAATGCCAGGTGATTAACCTAGTATCTGATGCCTGTGTTTTTAACATCTTTTCCAAGATCAAAGAATTAATAATAGGCACTCTAATCAGCTACATGTACTTAACCATGGCACTTGCATATTTGACTAGCAATTAAAACAAAGGAAGTGACTTGCAAGTTGTCCGTAATAAAAGAAATTTAAGGTGCATTCGATTAGCTTAAACAAGTTGACACGTTTAACCTTGCTCCCATTATCATGCTTGTTTGACACAGCCCACACAGTGATCCCCTGGTCAGGTTGCCCTGTGTAATCAAACACACCCATAAAAGCATTCCAATGGAGATCTTTTCTCAGCATAATGTGAAGTTCATGTGCATGTACATGTATGGCACATAATGTACAAGTGGACCAAACACGTAGATTTTCATATCACTGAATGGAGTCTAGAAGTCAGACCTTCTAAAAATGCTTTATTACCTTCAGATTTGTGTCCGCAACTGGAAAACCAGCTTCTATTTCTTCATCATTACTTAAATCTGACATCTGTCTCTTTTCAATCAATCCTGCAATACAATAGGTATCGTTTTAAATTTGTAATCGGTCAAATCCAGTTTCACAGGATCATCTGTAAATATTAATGTCCAATCATTCGAAAATATCTCTGGTGTTCCATGCAGCAAATACTTAGTATCAGGCCAACTTTGCCAAAATCTGAAACATAACCTCCCGCGATAAACTTGGCAAATACTGACAATTTACATATCCTAAAATTGTGCTTGCCTTTATTCTTCAGCCAACATGACTTTAGACCCAAGATATACACCACAGCAAAGGCTATTGCCAGCGTCAATCCCTTCTTCAGAGAAATACGGGCCATAGTTGGATGTGGCTTGAAGATGTGTTCCTAGCAGTGTACACTAACTCAGTGCATCTGATGACAGACTACAGTTGGTACTGTACCCTTGTTCTACACTGAAATGTAATCAGCCATTAGTGTTCCTGCACACGAAAAAGACACCAATCAAAATTAATTTCGTTAATTAATCAGTTAGATATAATTTCCATTTTTTTGATCGATCTGCGGATGAGTTATGTTCAGGGTTCATCTTTGTTAAATGCTGTTATTTGTAAATGCAAACACACCACTTGCACTGGTGGTAAACAGTGACGGTAGGCCTAGTTCATACCTAGGAGTACCTGGGTTGGATAATCTCTACCCGAACCCCCAATCGCGGCCCGCCTACCTCATATAGTATAAATGCACTGGAATTTACCTGACAATACAGCCCTGTACTTCACAATTGTGAGAGTAATTGTTGCGTTGGCCGACTATGAAAGCGGGCGATTTGGCAAGGGGTTGAGTTTTTAGGTTGGGCATGTTACCGTTTTAGTCCATGTAGGTTAAGTACCGGAGCAGATGAGTAGCAAGTTGCAGCCTACACCACCCATAAACAGGGCCCTACGTACATCGTCCTTCGTCGATATACCGTATATCGACGAAGGAGTAGTCTATAGCCTAGCCTACGTAGTGTTTACGGGTCGACATCCACTGGAACTTCCAGTGGAAGTCGACCAGTAGGCCTAACTCAAATGTTCCAGCCTTGACATTTCACATTGCACTCACTGCATGCAGACATGTCATGCATGTCAGAAATGCAGGTAATACAGTCCCTGTAAATTTCAACAAACAATCGACAGCACTTCACAAGACAAATGGCGGTAACATATGGCATAAATATCCTCCTACCACTCCATACAGGAATTCTGCGAGAAATCATAGAGACGCTGTGTTACTCCTTCCCGGATCCCCCATCATGGTTCACCTATCCTAACTTGATAACGTGCATGCACTCTACGTAATCGAACTCAAAGTAAATAAACTCTAGCCTCGTACCCGCGGCGCCACGCTAGCAGGCATACAAAAGATCACCGGCGCAGAAATCGCGGAGAATGAGGTGTCAGGATATCATCTAGACGCAGTTCAAGTCGTGAATTCAGCATAAATCCCGTCTGCTGATCTTGCGCGCGCCCTCTCCTGTTCCAGGCTGCTGCTACGCTGTGATGCCCCGTGTATGTGTACTGTACGTGTATTTTTGACGCTCTCCACGTCTAACAATGGACGGGGGAGGCGGACAGATTTGGCACAAACGCGTCGTTGACGCTAATGGAACCGCACGGGGGGGGGGGGACTTTCCTTCTTTGTCTTCACTACCCCTTATGTGATAGATGGTGATGAGAATTAACTATGACAGATTCAGACAAAGAGAACCAAATTTGTGAACTTCAAGACAAAGTTCCTGTCGGTATTTTGTATATTTCTGAGCATTGAAAGCACTCTCAGAAAAGTACGTGCAGTACTTTTCACTTTGAATTACATGTGATGAGCGGAATAATATTCTGGGCTTTTCACCGTCCAAATTTAGCAGAGTGGGAAAAGAACACAAAACGCATGAAATTGCTGGACACAGGGTTTGCTAATTATCACTTTACACAGATGTATTTTAATAACAAAATTGTCAAATATAAACAGGTAACTCAGTTAAACTGGAAAGTCAGTCTTCACAATTTTCTCATACGACTAGTTGCTTACCACGACATAAGCAGAATACTCTGTCCTGATTGGCCAAGAGTGTACCTGTGTTACATGGTATTCACTCCAACCAGAGGTCCTGGTTAATGTACAAGTATTCACAAAGGATGGATTTATCCGAGTACATGAGCAATGGTCTAGATTTCTTAGTGGTACAAAGTAAATTATACAGGTAAACAACGATATATAACGAGTGAGACGTGATCTGCAGCCTCTGGAATGCTCTGCCAACTGAGCTACCCAGTTTGGGATTATTCCCAAGTGTCAATACATTTGTTCAGGGGACAACAGTGGGAAGCCATAGTGCAATATAATAGAGAAGAAAGAGAGACATCGTTATAGGAGTTGCACTGCAGTAACTGTAAAGCTTTCTACTTGAACTGGTTTAATTTACTGTCTTTGATAACGTTGAATGCAAGGGCAGGAGGTGTTGTCCAACAAAGGAAAAGATTTTTCAGTTAATCACTGCGCAAATGGCAAGAGGTGGGTGTGATCGGTTATAAACTGAATGTGCACAAATGGTACTGCCTTCATTTTTACAGAAATGCACCTGAGCTTGGGTGATAATGCAATTGTCTGTTGATTACAGAAGTCATTAGCTTTTATCTGTTGTAAAAACAGACATGCCTAGAGTCTGGAGTACACATCCTTTTAAGTGACGCATGTCTTGAAAGAAAAATTCATTCATCTGGCGTAAAGCTCGTCATGGTGGCTCAAGGAACTGTGTCCATTTCTGCATTGCAATGGTTGATTATGTCAAATGGTATGCCCAAGGACAGCCTTCAGATTTTTAGCCTTTCAGTCCATCAACCTCTGGGAGTGGGATTCACTTTGAAGGTGCTAGGCGTAACAGACTTTCAAAGTCCGGTGTGCAGACAATCCGATGACTGACTTGTCCTAACCTGGTCATCTCCCCTGTCCTTTCGTCATCGTCTAGCTGGATGGACATCAGATCCTGACCAAAAAGTAAACACACAAATGAAACGCTTTTACACAGTGAGTACAGAAGAATGTGACAATCTGGTTGTGGGTATAATTAAAGGTTTGGGTACTTCAACATTTGGTTTGCAACGTCACCCTATTAACAAGATCTCGTTAACCACATTGTCTCAGTCGACACATGTACTAATTTGAGGTAGGCTTGTTTCCTTCTGTAAGATGTGTCTTGGGGCCTGTTTGTTTCACATGGATCCAGAACTCGATCAGTGATTCTGATGCTGGTTTGCACCATCTATTAAGCAGGTTTTGATGTCTGTAAACCAAGGACGGATCACTGATTGTGATCCAGACCTGTATGAAAGAAACATGGCCAACATTTCTGCTCTGGGAATTACAGCTTTAACACACGAGTACGCATGTGCATGTAAGTCTGTGATTCGGTGACGAACCTGTAAAAACCCACAGGGTGCTCCCGTGGTTACATCAAGAGTGACGTTTCCGAGGAGGAGCCTCGTCCTTCCAGATTTCAGCACTTGTAGCTTGCCCAGATACCCTTCAGGTAGACTCTCAAGGGTGCACTTGTTTGATCTCTTCTCCTGAAAGTCACACATTCAGTTTGAAACCAACGATAAGTTGGACCATTCACTACAAAGTACCGACGCTTGACGTCATTATGAACAAGGGAGTGCAGTACAAACAAATGGAGTGCATGTGTTGGATCACGCACTGGGTTTTGCCCTAGTGCCTTTCACACGCAACTGTGCACGTGACGTATTCACTTCGGTACTCTGTTTGGAAACTCCACAACTACTGAAAAAATTATGATTGACACTACACTGTACCACAAAGAGGTTGCCCTCCAGCATTAATATCACACTGCAAAACTGTATTCCCCTAACACTAAGAGCTCAGCAGGTTGAATTTACACCCCCCTTTTATATGTCACTTTTGGAAGCAGAGTAGTTCTTTCTGACAAATAAATTGGGGTACCATAAATCCCTTATGATGTATTTCACTTGGGAAAAAAGTTCAGTACTTAGGAAAAAAGTCAAGTGTAAAAAAAAAAGATTTACGATAAACTTCTTGAATTCACACAATGTGGCCATGAGCCTTGCCAAAATCTTTGTGACAAATTGAGCAGAGCAAATCTGATGTCAAACAATTCAAGACAAGAGGTTGTGAATCAAATTCAAGACATGATAACTGCAAAAAACAAAACGACACAAACTTTTGGTTGTGTTTCCATTTCACCTCTTTTTGTTTCTTCTTTGCATCTTGCTCAGCTATCGGGGTGCCCGGCTCCCGCTTGACCTTTGGCCTCTGGTCCTCATCCTCCTTCGACAGGGGCTGACCGGGGAGGGTGTCGGGCAACTGGAAGAACATGAGTTCGCCCTCCGATTTCAAGCGGCGGCCAAACAAGGCAGCACACGTGGTCCTCTTAGGCAGGGACTTTGTTGCTGTTTTGGGCTGCGTGCTGAGCTTTTCGGGGACTGGTTTGGTGTCAACTTCCATCATTTCAATGTCATTGTCATCGGTGAGCTCTTTTTTAATTTCTGACAAAAAAATGAAAACAAGGACTGTGGTTAAAATGACGGACTTGAAAAGCAGTCATATTTAAGATTAATTTAGCAATGTGACAGCTTGGTGACTTGCAACATTCTGTCTACTGGTACTGCAACAAGCATCTTTCGTACAATTTACCCATTTATTTGTATCAACCAACATAAATAAAAATTCTCTCCACATTTTGAATTAAGAAATTACACTTCAATCCAAAATGACCCAAGGATACAATGAATATAAAACCTGACATTTCAACAGTTCCAACTGCCACAGGATTCCTAACTAATCAAAAGTCTTTTCAGATTGAAAGTGTATATCAAGAACATTGATCCGAATACCTTTCATGCTGTCATCTGTACATTCCATCGCATCTGAGTCTTTCTCTTTCTTCAGTTCTTTTTTTACCGTCAGTGAGGACTGGAGGGGGAGGTGGATGGGGCAGTACTTTGTGTCTTCATCTTTATCCAAGTCGCTAACAAACTGACAAAGAACAACATCACAAACTCAATGCAGTCCTGCACAGTTTGGCCTTTTCAGACTTCCATCCAGTGATCAAGACTGTCTTAGAAAAGCCCACTTGAAGAGACACTGTACACTTTTGTAATTTGTAAAGACTATGACTAAAATGTGGGTATCTTGTGCATACACTGGCTTGCTCGAATATGCAAATGGCATGGAATATCATGCAACCAATTTGCAACTGAATGTGCACAAAGTCAAAGCTTTTCTGCATACAAAAGACCGCACCTGAGCTGGAACACATAATGTAAACAAATGCTATTAAAGCGTTCGTAGATAACACTTGGCACTTCTAGAACTGAAGCAGTGGTATGATTTGGCATAGATGTTTTAGATTTAAATGACTCGTGAATGACCATGTATCCCAAACTCCCAAGAAATTCTCACTGCCTCTGTGTTCTCCAACATCCTACACTGTGCCAAAACAAACAGCTCATTATCTGTATGTAAATGGTTCACGGAGCATCAAGCCCCATAAAAAAATCTTCCAAAGCATCTTCAAGGATTTTGAAAGGATCCAAGACAGCTTAGAATGGCGACTCACATCATCTCTGAAGAGGATGTCTCGCATTCTCTTGGACTCCTCCTCGGTCATCTTCTCCCTCTTGATTGTTTTGGATGAGGACGATGGGGTACGGCTGTCCCCTCCCCCATAATGACCACCTCCTGCATCCAAGAAAAATACACAGCAACAAAAAACAAAACCTGGCTCATTTTATGGTCCCAGTCCGAAAGTACCTAGGCCAGGGTTGTCAGTTTGAAAAGATTTGGCTGAGAGAGAACAGGTGAATCAACCTCCATCAGGAGTGGACAGGCAGATAATTTCATCCCAGATGAGACCCTGATATTTCCTGCTTAAGATGTTTCCACCATTAATTAAAACCTTAGAGACTAGGGTGCTTTTCACATTACTGTTTTCACCTGTTTTTAACTAATCCAAGCTGTTAACTGGTAAATAACACCTCACCTCTCTTATTAAGCCTGTCAGCGGGGCCCTCCTCAAAAATGGAATGGGACTGAATAGTTTCTGGCCTGCCACGCCCCCTGCCTCGTCCCCGACCTCGACCTCTGTCACCCCTTTCTGAACTTTGACCTTTTTGCCTTGGTGTTGAGGATGTCGGGACTCCGTTGCCGGTGTTGCATTTTGAACTTCAAAGTGGAAAACGCTTAAACTTATCCTTGGGGCAAAAATCTGACACATTCTCATAACATGCAGAATTCACAGACACTTCGTGAACATGAACACATTTATGCATGAGCCAAACAAATTATAAACTGGAAATCAACCATCAAGTCTGAAATAACAAGTCTGAACACAGGTTACTAGTGACAAAAAGGACGCCGGACCTTTGCAAGTTTAAGAGCTTGTGTCTTGAGAACAGTTGACTCGTAAGTTGTGAAGCTGTAAGCAAATTTCAGTTGATAATCCAACAGAAAAAAAACCTAAATGAATCGCACTAAAGGTGAACTGAGGGCCATTTAAATGAAGTTTTAAAAAGAAACTTGTATATATAAATACTTACGATTCCTTTTGGCTTTTGTCTTTTCTTCCAGCCATGTTAAGATTGGGCTTAAACGCTCTCTGCAAGACAAACAATCAGAACATGTACTCCCCTGTTTCTGTAACTGGTGTGATTAATGGCGGCAACTGCTTGCACCAAACATCTGGCACATTCTTGAGCAAAACATGCGGGGCAAGGAAAGTTTGTAGCTTGATACACGCAAGGGGACAATATGAACTCTAAAGATGGCAAAAAGAAAAAGTTTTCACAGCAGACTGTTCATTTCTTTCTCACTGGCGATTAAACCTTGCATGAAACTTAAGAGACAATATAGTTCAATTAATCAAACTCGCAATCAAGGACGAAATGATACCCAATGAGAAAGCTTATCAAAATCTTGCTGGCCTCATCTCTGCCAAAAAGTAGCCTACATCATATCCCCTCCCTCCCAATGACGTCGGAAATCTGAGGTTTTCCAGTAAAATATGGAAATTACCTTTTGTACTCCCCCAAGGGTAAGGTCCCTGGCTGGCCGCAGGGATGGGAGTCTGGTGCTGGGGTTGACTGCACCCCCACACCGTCCGATCAGACCCCTGGGTAGGGGGCCTGCACCCTCCCCCGAGGGATGCTGTTTCTGCTGTTTCTGCTGTTGCTGCTGGTCTGACATGCCGTCCGTCTTCTAAAATCTTATCTACTGTCAAGACGAGCCTAAATTGGCAAAAAGTAACAACCAAACAGATTTATTATGTAGGCCTGTAGTGCGGTGTGCTATGTTGCAGGAAAAAATTTGCAAAATTTGAGGTTTAAAACATTTTGGATTTTCTGAACGTGAAGTCCTCAAGCCTCAGTCACGTCAGTCACGTCAGTCAAGCGCCATGGGTGTACAAACATGACATATCTAAATGTACATGCACGTTTAAGCTACACGTACACTCAGAATTCCAAAAAGGGGGTACACCCAAACAGCTGGATCTATACACCATAATAGAAAACATGCAGGCTAAGACTACTACATTACAACCTGAAGGTGTCACGTCTGCTAAATACATGTCAATCATGCATGAAGAAAGATTTCAGAAATGACCGGTGTGCACACATGTACACGTACTGTCGTTCGTGTGGATGCATTGTATATGCTGCACTGTGATTGCGTGACGGGTACGGACTTTCAGCACATCGTACAACGGCTACGTCAATACGTGTGTCCATCTATCGGTGAACAGTAGGACGTAGACCTAGCTCTAGATACAAGACTTGCAAACGGCTTTTACCAAACTTCATAAAGTCTGTCAATGTAAAGATTTTATGATGTGATTGGCCCGTTGTATGTTTCTTTTATAAATTAAGTACAGTTTGATCTCCTGAAAAATGCATACTATTTTGTTTCAAAACCATTCTACAATGGTCATGACAGTGATAATTAATTCAACCGATATGTTCTCTTTTTTAGTCCAAAAAGGATAGGAGGGCTTGCAACTAGTCTAATTGCAAGTGCGCGCGCACGCCAGTGGCCATTTTGCTAAGGTCACTTATTTTGGCTTCAGTTTAGGCAGTTCTGTGAACGGTGGGATTTATATCGATTTGGGCAGCAAACCCAAAAGTTAAGGTTTTTTCAGGACAACGTCTTTGCCGAGACAAACACAAAATGCCAACGCCGTGTGCAGCAATTGGATGCCCGAATCGCAACGACCGAGGAACACGCGCGAAGGGTATCACCTTTCATCGGTAAGCCAGCAGCCTGCCCCCTAGGCGGCCATGCTAGCGCGGCATGTCCGGGCCGTAGGCTAGGCATGCATGGCCCGGTCACATAGGCCTAAGAACGTGAGCTTATTTTCAAGTGTTGGTGATAGGGAAGAATTTACGGACGCCAGTAATTCCTGTCTGCAGCGTGTGACCATAATGGCCAGCAGAAAGCAAAAACATGTCAAGGGAAGTTCAATTTGGAGGGAAAGTATCAAGTTGTTTATGAGATTACCCCCGGCCTTGTCTAGAATTTTTCAGACAAGTCTCATAGGGTTTGTGCACAGGGCGTCAAGTGGCATCCGTATATGGAACTCTTTCCATGACTTTGAGACTGAGAAAAATTTCTGTTTGGGAGTAGGTCAGGTCTCTACAAATCGCCACTTGCATGACTTGCTGAGTCAAGTTAAAACACGACTCACCAACTTTTGATCTGAAATCAACATCCGCGAATATGCGACTGTTTTGTCAGAATATAACACATTCACTGAGCTGAAAGTTGAGATTTGTTCTAACCTTAGGCACCATTCTGTAGATTTTGAGTAATTTTGTTACCTCAAAGGAACATGCCAGCCGATGGACTGTACTGTCATGGAAAAATCAGAACACATTTTAGTTCAACAGTTACATGTTCACAGATGAGATGATACATATGTCAGTGTGCTGGATAAATTTGTTGTTTTGTCAATACATGATCATTTTTCAGATTTCCGACTGACAAAAATAGGCAAAAAAAATGGGTAGCCAACTTGAAACGAGGCCACTGGGAGCCCTCGCCGAATGCTCAGGTGTGCTCCAACCATTTCACACCCCAGTCGTTTGACAGAACAGGACAGACTGTTCGTCTTCGAGAGGGTGTAGAGCCAACCATACTTTCAGTTTCAGATCAACCTCCAAAGGTAATGTGATGAGGGTCTATTGTTCTGTTAATGAAGTTGGGACATATTTTGAGGCAACTTAAGAATGGCTAGTCTAAGCCTTTTAGGGGTATTCCAAGAAAACTGTCAATGGACATCAGAAACTTCCAGGGTCATTCAACAGATTTCGTCAAAAGACTTCACATTTAACATCCTCGAAGCGTGAAAAAGCATGTATTCTGCTACTTGGTGGGAAGACTGCTGCCAGTTAATGCAAATTTGTCTTTGAAATTTATGAAAATTATTTGGTATCCACTTTACATGTGAAACCATAAAAAAAGAACTGGTGATGAAAAACTTTAAATTGTTCTGGAGTACTCCATAACAACTGGATAAGAGTAGCACCTCTGAGCAGGAGAGGGCATGTTTTTACATGGAAATGTTGGTCCTGTGGTGATGGGGGACTGACATAAAGGTTCATGCACACTTGGCCTGGGTTGCAGTAACGATGTGCAAGTGTTGTAGTCAAAACCATCACAAGAACAGGCACAAGACTAGTCACAAGACCAGTCACAAGACCAGTCACAAGACCAGTCACAAGACCAGTCACAAGACTAGTCACAAGACCAGTCACAAGTTACAGTGTGAACAGTGACACAGAAATGCCTTTGTTGCAGTTCAGTTGAATAGCTTGTGACTTGATTTCAAACTGGTGGTCTTGTGTTGGTCTGTTGTGGTCTTGTGCAGGTCTCACTCGGTCTCTACTACAACACTGATGTGCTACCAATTTATGATGGAATGTAAGGTCTTTGTGTATGTGTCGGTCACGTGCATGAACTCAGGTAAAAGACTTCCTACCAGCCTGTCTGTCCTTTGCCAGTGAGGGTGCACTTCAACTCAGTACGGATAACAGCTGTTCTGTTACTCCAAGGGACAGCTTAGACCCCATCCTCATACATGTCAAAATGTTGCAATTTGTGTACTCATCCTCCTGGAACGCCTTCTATCTGTTGGGTGACACAATTGTTGTGGAAATTGGACAATAAGCGGCTAGCCCCAATGTTCCGAACATTTCCATGTTAAAAATTCCTTCCGTTTTTTTTATGTTATAGTCCTTAATCATGTTTTTGGGGTTTTTTTCAAAAATATGTTGGTGAAACAGTCTGCTTTCCACTGTTATAAGGTCCTTTTTAATATTCACCTGAGTTCATTTTTCGTGAACATTTCAGCAATCTTCAATTCAGAATTTGCCACCAGTGCTTGGAACGTCACAGGAGAAGCAGAACATTGACCCCGACGGAATACCAAAGGTCCTTGGACGATGTTTGAGGAGGAAGAACCCAGGAGATCACACTTACGCCACAAGGGAGACCCCTAAACAGCTCAAGCAGAGACTGAACGAGGTGGTGGACAGGTTACAGGCCTGCAAGAAGAAGCTTAAAATCGAACAGCAGAGGAGGCGGCGGTTGGCGCTCCGTGTGGACCGGCTGCACTCCGTGCTGGACAGTCTACGGCGCCGGCAGTACATCACGGTGGACTGCGCCGAGATGCTGGAGTCCTCTGTCAGCTCAATGGTTCAATTGTTGAAGGAAGGCCAGGGAACAGGACCTAACCACAATGCAGAGGGCGAATGGGATGATCTCTGACAGTCAAGTCGAAATTTCAAGAACTCGGCCCAATTTCACTGCGGCGCTAAACAGACGACTTCACACTAACAGAGGCTCCTTGTATTTCTTAAAGACGGTGAAAATTAAGCACTGCAAAAGAGACTTTTACCTCGGAGGAAAAACTCACTTAATGTAGTGACAAAACTATGGAAATCTCTGTGTGCGTGCAACCTTAAGCACAGACAGCCCAAGCACCTCCATATTTATGTTAAGTAACATTTTCTGCTAATTCTTAAGGGCCATGAAATAAGATCCCCAGCAGTAACTGGAACATGGTCTTGGGTTTTTCGACCGGGCATTGGCAAGTTACAAGAATGACGCACCCAGGATATGTTGGGGAAGGGGGGAGGGGCTTGGACCGAAATTTACCCATAATATAGCTCAAGATGCTCGAGACCTTCCCCCATATAGCACCACAGAGGAAATGGATTTACAGCCTGACCGTGTATCGGAGTGAACTATTCAAGATGTGTGTATCTCTGTTTTTCAGAAAGTGACAAAAAACCTTGGAAGGAGGGTTGCCATCCACCGGGGGGCGCCATTGGTTACAATGATTCCTAACTGGACTTCAGTTTTTGCTGTATTTATTGTCAGTGCATATGTGTATCGGTTAATGTTCTGTTTCTTACAGCCAGAAATTCTAGTAGTTCTCTTCTGTAGAATAGTTCATAGTGTGACATTTTGGAAATTCACAGGAACTGAAGTTGAGTCGAATTGAAACAAAATTAAGGGTGTTAAGTTCACATGAGCGTTTAATGATCTCGACAGTGTCCAGTGTTGTAGTCGAGACCACTGAAGACCTCCAGTCTGGATTTAAGCCACAAGCTATTCAAATGAACTGCAACAAGTAATTTACAGTAATTCTGGTAATTTTGTAATTACATTTTTATAGTAAATACACGCAATCAGCCCATTTTGAACGCATGAGTGTGCTTTGGCTGGTCAGTTCTCATTTTTAGAACACACCCCTTGCCGCCAAAAATAGCCATGAATGGGAAATATAAGATCAGAGTTTCTCCATACCGGAAAATAGCAGAACTGCACAGTTGAGGCTTCTCGTCACTTTCAGCTCTAATGAAAAAACAACATCGTTTCCTATTTACGATCAGAAATAAGCCACAAAAGTTTCAAATGAAGAGCTTTTGTTGCGATGTGACTGCGAGAGCCCTGATGAGTTATACCTCATCCAGGCTCTCGGTACCGGTACCAAAGGCTCGCGCAAGCTCGGTTCAGTTTACGCGCGCGTCTACTGAGCGCCCTGCGCACCATGGCATGCCCTGAAAGATAACCTTTGATTTGGAGATCGTTTGAAGAGAAAATGCTTCCAATGCGATGCTATTGTTTGTCTCCTGATGTTTCTCTCCCACAAACATGGGTCTCTCATCGATGGAAATAGCCTACATATACTTTATTCTGGCGAAATAATTATCAAACAAACCATTTTAAAATCGTCCATCATCCCTTTGTGTTCAGTAATGTGGAAAAGAGGCTTAGCGTAAATGGCGCGTACGCGCGCGTACTTTCTAGTTTAAACGAGTTCCGTTCTCAGTTATGAACGCGTTAACTGCGGTAACTGTGTGACGAGCAGACATCTGTATCCTGCATTTCCCGAGTTAATTTAATCTTATCGTAGTGTTAGGGCCCCCCGTAAAGTAATACAGAGGTAGGCCTTGGCTCTAGGTAAACGCTTTAATCCACTCACATTAAATCGTTTCACGTTTCGGCGACATGTCAGACGCGCAAAGACAGATGTCGGAGGAAAGCGTCGTCTCCGACAGCGGCAGTGACCTCATCATTGACGACGAGGGGCCGGAACGTCGATGGGTCCGCTGCGATCTATCTTTTCACCGCTTCGTCATGAAAATCACCGAGTCGACACCTTTCAACGCTTTCATCATGTTCACCATTGTCCTCAATGCGATTGTAATGGCCCTGGAGACCGACTTCACACTCAAGGTGAGGAAGTAGACCTGAGTGTCGAGTGGGCAAGATGTAGGCTTACCACTAGGTTGTATTTTGCAATGCCATAAAATGATTTCAAGACCTAAGATAACGTACAGCTAGTACCCAAATTCTATACATCAGAAAAATAGCGTCACGTACATACATGTACATAAATACTTCGAAATGTATAAATTTAGGTATAATTCAATTTTGAGGGTAATGGAATAAGACAAAGTCGAGAAAATATCTCGACAGTCATTTCACATAGGCTGAGGACCTTTGGTTTTCCTTGATGGTGTGTGATGAATTCAGACGAAAAGAAAAAAGACGTGAATAATTATGTCAAGATGAATTTTTCATTGTTGCTTTTTTCTGAACCTACAGTCCAGGTTCCGAACAGCTTTCATTGTTCTGGATGAGCTCTTTCTGGGAATTTATACCCTGGAGTTCTTGATGAAAATCTATGCGGAGCCGATTCGCTATTTCTACAGCAGTTACAACTTGTTCGATCTTTTGGTTCTCTTGATGTCATATGTGCAGGTTTGTGATGAAAAGAAGCTTTCCTGTCGAGCGTCGACAGGTTTCATGATTAATACAATTGGGCCTATCTTGGGAGGGGCTGTACAGCTTGGAAAATGAGGCGGTTTAATCCGTGCAATTCAACGATTTAAGCACTTGCTTTCATGATGAAGTCATCCCATCTCTGATAAGAAAATATCTCACGATGTCGACATCTTACAAGACGTCGATTTGCCTTTGTTAAATGCCGTGCAATGCATATTGCATGCTTATTTTCCTGCAAGGTTTCGGCTTTGTGAGCTGGAAAATTTAGCCAGAACCTGGATGTTCTCCTTTACTTCCTTCACCTTGAAAGACCCGAGGACTTCTGCCGTAGTTCCTGCTCTTAAGGGGCATGTGGCCCAGTGGTTAGGGTTTGTAGCTTCTGATAAGGGTCGGGGGTTCGAATCCAGCTGGTGGCAACATGTTGTGATCTTGGGCAAGTCACTTTACCCCTATGTGCCTCTCTCCACCAAGGAGTGAATGGGCAGCCATTTGTGCCGAAATGGCAGCATCAGGCTAGTATACTCCCAAGGGAGCTGAGATGGTTTCAGGAAAGTTCATTATCATGTGAGCCCAGTGTGCAGGGATAATGGATAATAAGCGCATGGAGAAATTCCATAATATGCGCTATTTAAGAACTGACTATTATTCCGACCATCCCACAGCTGGGATCAGATTCTGCCCCAAAGAAATCAGCTGTCCCATAATTCTGCAACTTAGTTGCACGCACGTAGAAGCACCCATTATCAGTACAACTGTGAAATTTAAAATCTATCCAACGTTTTGTCACGGTTGAAGTTATCAAGTTCATTGCCAGCCCTGTGCACTGAGCATTTAAGTGGAAAACTTAATTTTTTTTATTGGTCTATAGGCCTATACTCTCGGCAAAAGGGGTTTGCATGAGAACAGTGTGACCGATTTTCACGAAGTTGGACTCAAAACGATCAAAAGGCGTTATTTTTAAAACTTGTATTGCGCCATATGAAGCAAGATATATGAGACAGGAACCCCCCCCCGCTTTGTGTTCGTCAATGTCTCACTGTAATCTGAGGAGTTCTTTTCAGACATGTGAGGGGGGGTTGTTACGTAACAATTGTCTATAGTGTGTGTAGCGATTGGAAAAGTTGGGGGTACCTCTCGGTCTCATTTCTTGCTGGATATGTATTGCGCCTCCTCCGGGCTAACATTTGAAGCAAAATATGGGACGGAGAGAACCCCCCCCCCGCCTTTGTGGTGGTCATTGTTCGATCGGAATCTCAGGAATTCTTTACAGACTTCTTGGGGTATGTGTTACGTAACAATAGTATACAGTGTGTATAGGGATTGGACAGGTAAGGGGGGTACCCCTCCGTCCCATATCTTGCCTGGTATATACGGGCTAGGGTTAAAGGCTTTGGTTTAATTCATGTTAATGAGATGGAGAAATCTCACATAATATCATAAAGGTGAAGTCTGAGAAATGACCAGTCTCTGTCAAACCACATTACATGTATCCTTCCGCACTGTTTCTATGACAGGTACTTCTTTTTCACGTGGCCGGAGGACAAACTAATCTCGGCGCGCTGCGAACGTTGCGGGCTCTTCGCACATTGAGAACTTTGCGAACTGTTTCCTTTGTTCGCGGCCTCCAGGTAAGTCTAACATTATGCTCGTATCCTTCAATCCCCATCTTGGTAATTTTTTTAATAATGTGAAACTTTTTGAATTTATCAGTTTTCCTACCATTCCAACATGGGTGTGAACAGTGTAAAACCATGCGGAACTGCATATACAAAACCCAATTAGGGGAAGTTATGAATGAGCGTACGCCCGTACTCCATTCAGTGAATCACAAAAACAGTTATTGTGTCCATCCATTCCATAAAAAAAGAATCCCTCAATGACAGACAAAAAATAACATTTCTGGACATGAGCAGCAAACTAATCTTTCACCTCATTTACCGAGGCAGCCAATCACGCGAGAAAATCTAAACTATATGATGATGGCATCATACGCTTTATTCTCCAAGGGGATGGAAACTGATGGAAAGCGAAGGGAACAGTGGATATTTCCCAGACATGTCCTTGGTAGTCAGTCTATGTGCTATTATGCTTGTTCCCCTCTTTGTCTCCCACGCCGCAAAAGGTGTTGGTAACCGCCCTTTTGGACACCATCCGTAACTCTGTCCTGAATGTCGTGCTCCTGCTGCTTCTCATGATGTTCCTCTTCGGCATCATGGGCTACTATTTCTTCGGATACAACGAGGGCAGCGACAAGGAACACTGGGGCAACCTCGGCTCCGCCATGCTGACGTTGTTTAGCTACGTGACGGTGAGGATCAGGAACACGCGCCATTAAGCCCCTCCCCATTGTTTTCTGACCGATCACGGCCGTGATTTAGGCCTGACTTGAGTGCACGCCCGTGTGATGCGCGCGGCTCGAACCTGTCCGGCCGGTTCGTAAGTGACTTCGTCACAAAGGCGGACGCGCCACGATTTGCAGGCTGCCATTGGACGATCGCTGAGTTGCGCTTAAACGGCGATTAATACATGTAACTCTATGTGCAGTGCATGTACAGTGGGCGTGGTTTAAACTGAAGTGACGTCACACTTACGAACCGGGTAGCGTAGCGTTAGGGAGAGCACGTGCTAATTGCCCACGTGCGTAATGGGAGGGGTTTATTGGGGTCGGTCTATCATCTCTGCATACATTGCGGCAATCGATGGAGGTTCATGTTCACTCCTCTAACGGGTGGATTGATCGGTCCCTATGGCAAAATTATATCAATACAGCTCCACAGTCCGTCTAAGAATAATCTAACCCGAGGAGACGTCATTTGTTAGTGCAAGGAAAATCAAGAATCAACTACTTTAACAGTCTTTAATTAAGTTTGAACATTTTTAATTCAATGGCGCTTTATTTGTCAGGTGGAGGGTTGGACAGACCTCCAGGCCGAGCTGGACAAGCGCAACATGACAGGGAGTCGCTTCTACACCATTGCGTTCATATTTCTGGGCCACTTCATCTTCACCAATGTCTTCATTGGGATGATTATAATGAACATTCATGACGCCACTGAAGCCTATAGGCGGGAGCAAGAGCTGGAGAGAGAAGAGGTAAGGTGCAAGATGGTCCTCGGCAAAGACCCATCAGGGGCAAATCGGGCCCTAAAATTTAGGATTTTCTTACGCAGTATCTCTTGTACCTCTGCAATTTTGAGGCTAGTTTTGGAGGTATTTTTGGTAAACATTTTGTAGAATGCAGAGACTTCCTTAGTCTGGTGGTGAACTTTGCTATAAAACGATTTGGTGGCTTTTTCTTGATTTTCGGCTATCAGGCCGTCCAGCGAAAGAAGGAATACATGATTCAGAGACAGCACAATGAAGTTCGTCAAATGCTAGACAAGCAGGTCAGTTTGTAGATCATCATCCGTCTGGCAACCTTTTTTCTTTTTAACTAAAAGTGCC